TGCCTGGCTTAATTACAAGATCCTTTGCAATACAAGCTTTTCTATCTCAAATATTATTGGCCCAGAAGAGGAAATTATAGCCGCAGGCAACACAGTAACTTATCTGAGAGTGAATTCAACTAGCCTTCCACATGTACTGCCCTCAAAACAAGACAATTTTTTCTAGGCATGATCATAAATGTATGTTTTTCTGTAGTTTATAATTTATGGTCTGAATGTTTTTGCTCACTGGTAAATGCAGGCGCTCACAATGCACATGGTGAGCTATGCTGGAAGAGTAGACATGCAAATTTTGGTGGCCAAAGATATCATTCCTGACCCGGCATTTCTCGCAAGCTGCTTTGAGGAGGCCTTGCTTGATATGAAGGAAGCAGCCAGCCGCAATGCAACCATGAGTAATTAACCAAGAGCCACAAGTAATGGATAATTAGTCACATCATGTAATATTATATTTTTTTATTTTAAAACCTTCATGCCCTTTTTATTTCTTAATTAATACTCAAATGAATAATTAATAAATGACACGTTCACTCTATTAAGAGGGTGATACACAATTTGACACATAAATGTGGTCTCTCTACCGTCACTCGGTCTAGAGACTCATCAATTTGCTAACTAATCCAAGAAAATTGCGCAGAATTTCATCCGAATCTTCTTACTTCTCTTATTGCCATTAATGAGACAATGATCCAGATGGTTATGCATTTATTTTTTTTTGGACGAAAGATGGGCATGCATATATAATCTATATAGACTGTAAGGAAAGGGGTGGTGATAATCTAAATTTTAATTCCCTTTTGATACAATAATTTTGCTTTCTATAAAGAAAGAAAAAACAACCCAATAACTCCACCATGTATCAAATCCACAAGTACAAGGCCAGCAAAGACCACAGAAACATGCAGAGCCACATGGGAGAGAGCAAGGAAACCAGAGCCAACGACCCTTCTTCTTCTTCTTCTTCTTCATCTCTCTGTCTGTGTTTCATGGGTTCGTCGGCAGCTGACAAGTTCTCCGACGAGCCCATAACTCCAATTGGTGGGTTCTTCCTCCAACCCCAAATGGACCAAATAATCCACTGCACCATGGGCTTCAAAAACCCCATTGACATCGCCGCCATTAAATCCCACCTCAAAACCTCCCTCCTTCTTTCCCACCCCAGATTCTCCAGCCTCATGGTCCGCGGCCCCCGAGGCCTCAAGCAATGGCACAGGACCTCCCACGTCGACCTCGACCGCCACATCATCGTCGTCCCCAACACCATCATAACCGCATCAAACTTTGACCACGAGGCCGCGGTCAACGCCTACTTGGCTGACCTCTCCACCAGCTCTGGCCTCAGCGCTGACAAACCTCTGTGGGAATTTCATCTCCTCATGGCCCACAACTGCGGCGTCTTCCGCATTCACCACGCTCTGGGAGATGGGACTTCGCTCATGTCTCTGTTCTCGGCGAGTTTCAGGGGAGCTGAAGAGGAAGAAAAGCTTCCGGCTTTGGGCTCTGCCTCGAAGAAGAAAAACAGAGTGAATGGTGAAAAGGGCTGGTGGGTTTTGTTGATTGGGTTTGTGGGTATGGTTTGGTTCAGCTTGATTTTTGCGGTGCAGTTTGCGTTGAGGTGCTTGTGGGATTGTGACAGAAAAACAGAGATAAGTGGCGGCGATGGAGTTGAGCTCTGGCCTAGGAAGCTGGCCACCGCACGGTTTAAGCTTCAGGACATGAAGCTCGTCAAGAAATGTGTTCCAAATGCGGTAATTGATTTGCTAATTCTTCTGTTTTTCTTGTATATTGGGTTTTGTTGGTTCCTTTTCTGGAGTTGTCCAAATAAAAAAGATCCGTTTTTTTTTTTCAAATTATTTTTCTTCAGAAAAAAGAAAAGGGTTTTGACTGAAAATTCTATGCCACAATGCTGCAGACCATCAATGATGTTCTTGTGGGGGTGGTTTCAGCAGGGCTATCAAGATACCTAGATCACCGAACACCAAATGGTAATTAGAAATTGCTGATGTGCACTTTTGCTTCCCATTTGAAACAGAGATCAATGGCATTCAATCATAACCAAAAGTTAGCTAAACCCAGTTGTTCTTCTCACCAGGTTTGCCCGAGGGGCTTCGAATTACAGGGATAGCTATGGCAAATTTAAGAGAGCAACCTAGATTGCAGGTCTGCTGTAAATTCTGAACTTGCATAGTTTTTGTTTGTGCTATGCATTTCAATGGGTTGTTTTTGTTTTGCTTATGAAATCAACAATCTGATCAGGAACTAACAGATTTGATGAAAAGCAACTCTGGATCGAGTTGGGGTAACAAATTCAGCACGTTTCTCCTACCTATTTATTATAAAAAAAGTTCTGGAACTGAACCTCTGGAGTATTTGAGGAAAGCTAAGGTGATTATGGACCGCAAGAAACAGTCTCTGGAGGCTCTTTTCTCATACAAAATTGGGTGTTTTTTAATGACCTATTTGGGAGCAAAGGTGAGGATCATCAAAATGCAGTTTTCAAACAAGAAAATAATACATTTACAAATTTTTTTCCATTGAACTGCAGATTGCTACATGGCTTCTTTACAGGATTGTCTGCAACACTAGCTTTTCTATCTCAAATATACTTGGCCCACAAGAAGAAATTGCAGTTGGAGGAAACCCTGTAACTTACCTCAGAGTGAATGCATCTAGCCTGCCCCATGTATACCCCAAAAATTCAATTTAAAGTTTCTAAATTGTCAATTTAGGGTATGAAGGTTTTTGCTGATTCGTACATGCAGGCACTTACAATGCATATGGTGAGCTATGTGGAAAGAGCAGACATGCAAATTTCGGTTGCCAAAGATATCATTCCTGACCCGGAATTTCTTGCAAAGTGCTTTGAGGAGGCCTTGCTTGATATGAAGGAAGCAGCCCATTGTGAAACAAATGATTGATTATTTTTTTTGGGAGAAGAAACGAGTAGGAAAAAAAAAAACACAAGCACTCTTTTTCTTTTTCTTTTTTTCTTTTTTTGTGGTTGAGAAAAACAACCAAGCACTCATTTTTCATAAGTATTATTTTTGTTACAAAAGTTAACTTATTTTGTACAAGTTACGATTTATTTATTCAATATTCATGCATTGTTTAAGTACTTTCACGGAAGGAATAACTGCCATTCAAAAATGCATTGTATAAGCACAAGAAAAAATCAAGCTATAGATTGATGGCGTGAAAAATACAATAACGGTAAATGAACATAGAAAAAAAAAACAAAAACAAAATGTTTTTGATACAAATGATAATTTATTTTAATCTAATCTAAACTATGAGAAGGAGAATTCGAACTCGAGTGCAGAGTATGGAGCACATCCACTATAGCCAATTTGGTTATGTTTATACCAAAATGAACAGCCAATAAGAACAAGACACGTAATGGGCATTTAGACTCGTTACCAAGCGAACATAATAATTTACACAATGAACGCTAAGAGCTCTTTCATTGGGTAAATTACATAACGAACGGAATAATTTACATGGTAAACGATAAAGGGTTTGTTTGTTGGGTAAATAATTTCGTTCGTTGAGTAAACGCCATGATTTACTCAACAAATGACTCCCTCAGCGTCCGTTGGGTAAAAAATGATGTTCGGTGGGTAATAGGCATTTAGACTTGTTACCAAGCAAAACATAATAATTTATAGAAGGAACACTAAGGGGGATTGTTCATTGGGTAACTTATGTCGTTCGTTGGGTAAATTACATAACGAATAAAATAATTTACATGGAAAACAATAAAGGGCTCGTTCGTTGGGTAAATAATGCCGTTCGTTGAGTAAGTCAACGAACGACTCCCTCGGCATTCGTTGGGTAAAAATTGACGTTCAGTGGGTAATGGGCATTTAGTCTCGTTACGAAGCGAACAAAAGAATTTACATAACAAACGCTAAGGGGCTCGTTCATTGGGTAAATTATGTCATTCGTTGGGTAAATAATGTCGTTCATTGAGTAAGCCATGATTTACTCAACAAACGACTCCCTCAACGTTTGTTGGGTAAAAATTGACGTTCGGTGGGTAATGGACATTTAGACTCATTACCAAGCGAACATAATAAGTTACACAAGGAACACTAATGGGATCGTTCATTGGGTAAATTATGTCATTCGTTGAGTAAATTACATAATGAATGAATTAATTCAAGGGAGTTTCACTAAAATACCCAAAATGGGGGCTGAAATTATAAAAATACCCAACACCCAAAACACTTTATAAACATACCCAAAACTCATCATTACACACACTCAAAACCCATTTATAAACATACCCAAAACCCATCATTACACACATACCCAAAACCCATTTTGGGTATGTTTCTATGTTTAAATAGTGCTTGAGTATTTTTATAAATACATGTCTAGGATTGGGTATTTTTATAAATATCTATTAATTCAATGTGGTTCAAACATTAGAGCATTTTGTTATGTAGGTCTTCATTAAGGTAATAGTAGATGAGCAATGTGTTTTCAATTAGTAATGAAATAAAAATAATAATATGACTATACGATTGAAAGACAACATTAATGTTGTACTAGGGGTGTGACACTAGCCTTAGGAAGAATATTCACATTATTTTTTGTACATGAGGACATCCAAACTTAAAGATTCCCTTGACAATTAAGGATTTATAATATAGATAGTTTAATTATTATGTTCTTTGAGTATCTATACATGTCTCAGAACTGGTGCTTTCTTAGCTATAGAATTTGAATACGAGTATTAACATCCAACACTCCACGTTTTACTATATAATTTCTTATGCGCAATGTGCAATTGCATACAGTTTATGCAAATTTTGACCCCCTTTATGCAATTAGTGATAATGTGATGTTTAAAGAAGCGTGTAGGTCGGCTAGGCCTAGAATGGTTGTGCAATTGCATATAAGCAATTGCATATAAACTGTCAAGTTAATTATACTGTGAACTAACATGCAATTACTCATAATAACTGGGTGTAACAAAACAAATTGCACATCCACTACATAAAATTAGATACAATGATTGAAAATACAAAATTACAACTTTGTCAATCTATCCATTGTAAAATGATATTTAAATCACAATAAAAATTAGATTTAAAAGTAAAAGTACTCGAAATGATAACCAAGCTATCTAGCACTTTGAAGATCATGAGCAACACAACCTAAGACAACCTTTCTCTTTTCTCCACGAGCCCAGCCTTAAACACAAGCAAAGAGAGAGAGTCGCGATGACTAGAATTAAAAACGATACAAGTAAAGTCACAATGAGACCTAACAAAAATGGCACCCAAAACGTACTTTTAAGTAGCTGAGTGGCAGAACAAAGAAACTCTGAACAAGCCAGCTCTTCTGTGCAACATAGGCAACGAACTGAGTACAAGTTGAGTGCCAGACTTTTTAGACTTCTCATAAGAATCTCTGAAATCACAAGCCTAAGGGAGCATCAACTTATCAGTGTCTGCACTAATTAAAGATACAGTCTTTATCTGGTACTGTCAGCTCCAATGTGAATCTGCATATCATAACAAATGATAACTTACAACAATAATCAGATCATAGTGGTTTTTTTCCGGAAAGCAAAAATTATTGGGCAAAAACCCAATAATCAGATCTAGGATAAGCTGACTGAAAAGATATCAAGCTTTAAGTAAGGAAATGAACATTTCAGGCTGCCCCTACCACTAAACGAATGGGAGAATTAGAACATGTAACAATGTCATGATTTTGAACCTGTTTGCTGCACCCTGGGGTCTCATCAACACAGCAGGGTAGAAATAGAGAACCGAAGGCTTTCATTTGAACTTGGAGAAGCTCACAGCTTTTCCATCCTGATCTTTCAATGTGAAGGGTGGTGGAACCTTACCCTTGTCCACCTGTAAAGAAACACACAATCATAAGGTCCATAATCAATCAACAAAGAAGTAGCCATACCCATAGCCCACAAAACTAACATATCATAATATGTGAATTAGGCAATGTACCTTAGCACAAATAAACATATTCCCAGAAGAAGAAGAGGGGACTGACAAAGAGGAAGAATCGGAGAACTTGTGGCCATAAAATTGTCTCTAGTTCATCACATTCTCAATTTTTTGGCCACAGGAAAGCAGTGATGAATCAAACACTAAACATTTCAATTTCACCATAACGAAAATCAAACACTAAATTAAAAATATTTATTTAAGGAGCCGAATGCTTATTAACCACAACATCAGGTTTCCCTTATTTTAAAACAGGTCACGTGACTAGCATGTGACTGATTGCACAGGTGCAGTCACTGTACCACAGCAGGACTCCTTAAAATCAGAACCACAAAAAGAATCCTATAAAGAAGAGTATAAATCTAAAACAAGTAGAAAGAAGAGTATAAAATCTAAAACAAGTAGAAAGAAGAGTATAAATCTAGTATACATAGTTTGATTTTGATACTCCCAAGACATTCTCTGGCCACTAAATTCATTACGTGTTGTAATTTTTCAACAGTCAACCACGCCCCTCTTTGCCGACACGGACCAACCAGGCAGCCTCATCTCTCTCTGTCATGGCTTCAGCGGCGGCTGACTACTCCGACG